ACCGCTCTTCCCAGGAGGAGGTGGTATGTGCTCTATTACCGCAGGGAGGACTTGCTCAAGACCCTGCCCGGTTTTTGCAGATGTTAAAAGAGCATCCGCAGGGTCAAGATCAAACATGGACTTTATTTGAGCCTTAACACGATCAGGGTCAGCCGTTGGCTGGTCAATTTTGTTTATGACCGGAATTATTGTCAAGTTAGACTCAAAGGCAAGATAAAAGTTGGCCACAGTTTGTGCTTGAACACCCTGAGCAGCATCTACGACCAAAAGGGCTCCTTGGCAAGCTGCTAGTGATCTTGAAACTTCATAGCTAAAATCCACATGACCAGGCGTGTCAATGAGATTAAGTAAAAAACTCGGTTCTCCTTGCTCATTACTTCTATCTACACCATGAAAATTGTGCTTGTGGAACATGGTTGCCGTCTGGGCTTTTACAGTAATCCCTCTTTCTCTCTCTACCTAAAAAAAAGAAAAAACCAGTAAACGTTACAGAAATTGCAATCAATAAAGCAAAAAACACAACTTTTTTTGTTCAGTCCAATGAAAAAGTGCTAAATGAACATTAAAATCTGAAACAACCCCATCAACAGATTCCATAAATATGAAAAAATAAGGGGAAAAAAGAGAATTTACTTACCTGCAATTTGTCGAGGTACTGAGGCTGACCACGGCCTCTTTTGATGGTCCCAGTGAGCTCCAAAAGCCTGTCAGCGAGAGTAGACTTGCCATGATCGATGTGGGCGATTATGGAGAAGTTCCTAATCCTTTCGGGAGGGTACTGGCTCAAATCTATGCCATTTTCTACGCTGTTTTGGCGAGAATTAGAACAGAAAGATTGGCTCAATCCAATACGATGAGAATTGAACCGACCAAGAAATGGGTTGCTTCCAAATGAACCGAGTTTGGACGAATAATGGAAGAGAGAGAAGTACTTGGATGATTTCAGAGACTTTGAAGCTCTGCTCAAAGAACCCATTTCCGGTTTAACCGAACTCTGCGGAACTGACGGAGACACGAGACTCCTGCGGCGAAAGCGAAATTCAGAAGTCGTTTTGCTTCGGACACGGAGGAGTGAGCTTGTGGACCTCTGGAATGTGGACAGGCCCAGTATCTGTAGTCTTCCAAAGCCCAAAAAAAATATGGGCCGGAGATATGGAGCCTGTTAATGGAGCCCAAAAACGAGACACCTCTGGTTAAAACGACATGTCGTTTTTGGATGCAGAGAAAACGTCATTCGTTACTTTTTGTGTATCGAGTAAGAAACGGCATCAAACATAAAACTAGAACGTACTACGTGTGGTTCATCACGGTAAAAGAGAATACATCAATACACGGCACGGCAAGCATGTCATTCAATTTGTTAAACTACATGTAGTTTCTAAGAGAATTGGAACAAAAAAAGACGTATTTTCATTATGCGTAGTTACTGGTTAGCAAAATCTACTTTAAAGGGGGGGAAAAAAAGACAGTAGCAAGTATAATCTTGGAACAAAAGGGTGGTTGTATGCATAATCTAAGGTAAATTCATACTAATGTCTCCAAGTTCAGGTCAAGAGTTTGGATTCCCCCATTTAAAATAAAAGTAATTGTAATAATCATGGAAAAAAAAGCGACAGATCGTTCATCTTCAGCAAAACAACGGTGGTGGTGGAAGACATGCAAAAGACATTTCGTTTTTAACTAAACAATAAGACATGTCGTTTTCAAATTCACGAAAAACGTACAATGTGGGGGCTGGGGGGTTGTTCCATATTTACGTTTCCACAAGAAACGCATGCTTTTCTGGACCCAATGGTCATACTCATGCTTCAGCGCGTGCGAGTCCCACTTCCGTTTTGGTGGTCGCTAAATTGTCCAATTTTACGTACTGTACAATGCAGAATCTTGTCTTAACTTTTCTTCAATCAAAATTATCAAAAAGAAAAAAAAAATGTTACCTTTATTCATTTTATCAATCTCTACATTCATTAATGGACACGTTGGTTATTTTATTTTCTGTTTAAATAATAATATATCATGCTGTGAATGTAGATAGTAAAAAAGAGTGATGCAAATATTTCTTAAAAAAAAGAAAAAATACCTTGACCTCAGAACAGATATTGTGCATGTGTGCTGAGTACTGCCGCCAAAGGGTGTCGGTGGCTCATCAAATGAAGCTCGAAAGTCAAAATATTGTCGTTCATTCTAAGTTTCCTTTTTGTTTTTCTTTTTTTTTTTGGAAGAAACCCAACATTTGAATTGGGACACATAATTACCAGGTTTCTTTTTTACACAGTTGTTGGTTTTATGTCGTTTATAGACTAGCAAATGCAAGAAATCCAACCGTTGGAACGAGTGTCTTCTAATTCTATGTTAAAAATAAAAGACTCATGTGGTGCAATTAAAACAAAGCTACAGAGTAGTACCCTAGCCAGGATCCATCTCATTTAATGCAAAAGCTGCACGTTATCATTCCTCTCTTTAATTTCAGAATCGTTATTACTATACGTTTGGAATTGATAATTATTTACAGCAAAAACATTCAAGTCTCTCAGGCCCCAAAAACCTACCCATTTTAGATCCCAAGTCACACTCAGCTATAAAAACGGCACTCAAAAAGAGTTGTATTAGCAGGTATGTATCATAAGATATATTTGACATGTGTATGTATAATCAATGGATTGTAGTGTATATAAGCTTTCTGCTTTCAAATCTTTTATTTTATGTTTTAAGGTAAAATTATAACTTCCTATTTTCCCAGATACGTATAATTTTTCTATGGTGGTAGTTCAAACTTCTGTTTTCTTTTACTTAAAGACTTGTCCAGTGGATGTCGACCAGTAACGCTTCCCTTTAAAAGATTTCTGTATGAAACTTCAGTGGAAACGAATACGTTTTAAGTGGGTGAGTAAGTGAAGACTAAACAGGAGAGAATTCATGTGGGGCCCATGTCTAGTTGTGCATGCTCGTATAAGCCACATGTCCCTTACATAAATTTATTACAACTTTGGCCCATTGCTCCACAAAATTTATGTTCTTGTAATCCTACTAAGTCTGCTTCCCCGGCTGAAGAATCCTCTTCTCTTTTAGCTAAGGTAGTCTCGGATCCAGAAAAACACCTGTGAATGTGTATTATTGCCTTGTGTTTTTTTCCTTATTGCAATCTCTATGTTCTTAGTCCTTAATTTTCTCTCTCTTTTTTTTTTTGAGTGGTCCTTAATTTTCTATCTATTCTCTGAACTATTTTTTTTTTTTTTTTTGTCATTGTGCCTTTTCCCCCCCTTGTTTTTGTCGCAAGTTCATAATCTGTTGATTCCAAATTCTGACTCTTTGAATTTTTGTCATTTATAGTACTTGGATATAATATATATATATGTATATATTTCATTGATAGTACTTGAAGTGTGTGTGGATGATTAGCTACCTAGTGAAAAAAAGGTTTTCATGTTGCAGAACCTTTTCTTTTTTCTGATTTTTCTTTGTCATTGAGCAAGATATGATACATGGTTCTTTTCTGTTTAAATGTCCTTTGTATCTTTTTCTTTTGCATTATACCATTTTCACCACTATTGTTGTTTAGAAATCCCAAGTTCATAAGCATGTATAATTACTTGAGATAATTCATTTCACAAAGTCGTATATGCAGGTCTGACAAAAGCATCAACAATAGTTTCAGGTCAGGCTTCTGTCAATGGGAAAATCTCCAGGAAAGTGGATCAAAACTGTCATTTTCGGGAAGAAATCATCAAAACCAAGTTCCCAAAAGGTACTCAGTAATCGACAAATCTATATCGGCACAGGCCATTTCAATAATGTTGACATTGTTATGATTTTTGTACCATAATTTCCATGTTAAGAAAACTGCACTAATTGAGAAAAAGGAAGCCGCCACAGCCGCAGCCGCCGCATCCAAGACGCCAAGTGGAGAGAACTCAGACAATGGCTTGACTGTCAACCTAGCAAACGAGAAACAAAATGCAGATTTGGGAAAATCCGTCTTCTTAGATTCACCAAACGACATCAGTACTGCAATTACAGAACAGCAAGAGCAAGCTGTTATAACTGCACAGGCAATTTTCAGAGGTTACTTGGTAAGTGATTGATTTGATTTTCTGTTTTGGTACAGTTGTAGCTGTCTTATGAGTTGGTATGATGTGGGTGTCGGTAGGAATTAAATGCGGGTTATACTTGTGTCCACATTCTTGTGGATGTCACTTATACATATATCTAGGACCACAGTACAGTAACAGAACTGTCTTGTCAAATATTTAGGATTTTACATAACCCCAATTGGGATTCTAAAGTTCCAAACTGACCAAAGTTTCATTTGATTTACAGTTGGTGATTTTTTTTTGTGATACTAATACTAATGTATGAAAAATATACCTCCCTAGGCCCGGCGTTCGGTTCGTGCCATCAAGGGCATGGTAAGGCTGCAAGCGCTTATTCGCGGGCACTTGGTCAGGAGACAGGCAATTGCTACATTGCGCTGTGTGCAGGGGATTGTTAGATTGCAGGCACTGTTTCGCGGGAGAAGGGTCAGAGTCTCGGATGTTGGCAGTGAAGTAAGGAAGAAATGCTCTTCCTTGGTATTGCCTTCACTAATCCACCACATTAATCCTTTTCATTTGCTCTTTCCATTCTTTGTTTTGTATCTCATTAACCTTTTCATGTTAGGCTATTATCTTTTGCATTTTTTTTTCTTTTGAAACCGGGGTGCAATATTTAAATTATGGATTTACCGCTGGGCTAACACTGCAACCATTTTTGCATATTGCTTTTTGTTATTTGTTTAATGTTTCCGTCTGTCAGGGTCAAATTCGGGCAGAATTATCTGGATCACGTGCTATTCCTAGGCCAGACAAGCTATCCTCAAATGCCTTCATCTGTGAGGTAAAATATCAACATCTCGTGTCATGCCATTAGTGCATCTTTTAAAATCATCAAATTTCTTATATCAATTGACCTTTTTTTTTTTTTGGCTTAATTTTAGTTCAATTCTTATGATTTTGTTTGTATTATAATACCTCGTGCTTTTGGGAGATACAAACGAATTCTTCTTCTTTTCAGCTTATTGCTTCATCACATGGTACTGCCATGCCTTTGCACCTTCACCATGACACAATAATAGAACCAAATTGTACTTGGCAATGGCTAGAGAGATGGTCATCATCAAAATTTTGGGAACCACTTCCAAAACATAAGAATACTATCGACAAAAATTCTCATAATAAAAAGGGCAACAATCAAACCAAGAAAGCTGAACTGGGCAGGCAAAAAAGGGTTGAGGGGTGGGTCTCCACTCTAAACAACAGAAAACATTTTTCGAATCAGAGCCCGGCATATGAAAACCAAATAAACAATACAAGGAAGTTTGAAACTCGAGAAGAATCACCAGGGCAGGAACACCCTAAAAATGAACTGGAGAGGGTAAAGCAAAATCTGAGAAGAATTTCTGCTTCAAGCAAAGTTGTTCTTGCTTGTTCGGAATCCGTGGTTGAGAAAACAAAGTTAACTCCCAAAATGATTTCAAGCTCTCCAACTTTTGAGGTTCCTGAGAACAGTGTTGCCAAGTCCTTTGAGAAAACATCTGATCCCTCAGTGGCAGTGTCCAAAAGCTTGGAACAGAATCAAGTGGAAGTGGCACCGAAAACAGTCACAACGGAGGCGAAATTTGATAAGCTGTGCGATGATCATGTCAGTGTTGAGAAACATCCTTTAGATTATGTTGAAAAAGTTGAAGACGTAGCACAAAAGGATACAGAGAGAATTTATAAGGAAGACAAGACTAGCATCATGGACTTCCAGGCCAGAAGCAACAAGAGAAATCTTCCAAGAAAGCTGGAATACCCGGAGTTTGTTCCGCAGAGAAGTCCAAGTTTGCCCAACTATATGGTGGCAACCGAATCAGCAAAGGCAAAACTTAGAGGATTTTCTTCTCCTAGACATGATCAAGATGAGGTTGAAACTGGTGGTTTCACGCGGCGGCATTCTTTGCCTTTATCTACGGACTGTAAATTTAGCTTAATATCCCAGCAGAATGAGAGACTAATTCAAGCAAGCTCCCGAGGAGAGAGCAAATCATCTCCATTGTCCTCTTCAAATGGCCATGGTAACACACTTGAACAGATCCGCATTCTGCAGTAACATTTTCATGCCCCTTGCTATATTATTTTCCAAGAAAAAAGAATAAATTTCCTGTACCATAATTGTTTTTCTGCTTCTTAAGCAGTTTGCATTTGGATGATTTTCAAATTTCAGGTAAGGGAGGACGGCCTGGGTGGAGGAAGTGAGTTAGATGCAATCTTCTGTATGAGATACCAAAACGGAATGTGGAAAAATACTAGTGTGATGGACTTGGAGACTCTCATTGTATTCCTTTGTGCTTTATTGGTTGTTTTGTGTGAATTTATCATGTATGGTGTATATTCTTCCTGTTTTGGAACATGTTTTCAGTTTTTTATTCCCTTGATTGTTGTGCTTAATTTAATTCTTTACGTATCTAATTAGACTAATTGATGCTTATTTGATTAGTTTCTCTTTGTAATTAGTTGTACATCACTTTTAAAGTACATCATTTAGCTTGTCATATTCATATGAAAAATGGCACTAAACTTGTGTGAGAGATCCAATTAAGAAGTGACCTGGTAATTGCAAAAGTGTTCTGAAAATCATAGCAACATTACTTTTCTGAGCATGGAAGAGGAGAACCTTTCTCAACTAGAGTACTTTAATTTGATATCCAAGTTGTAGTAAGGAAACTAATGTAAACGCGTGGACTCTAAGTATCGCCCCGACGGAGAGTTAGCACGCGATCACACTGAAGGTGAACCGTTATAAATCTTGCATATGTGATTGATTGCGTTTCTTTAAATTATTTTACTCGTTAGTAAAAGGCTTAGAGAGTTTCCATAACAACTAAACATTAAAAGAACCAAGCTTCGAAGAGATAATGCGAAACTCATTCCTAAAACAACCACAAACAAAACCCCTAGCATTCCTAAAAATTCCTAAAAATATATATATGTAATTGAGAAAAGTGCTGAATATGTCAAAAACAATAAGACTTCCTTCACTAAAAAAACAATCAATGTACCTCGTATGAAAAATGTTAGGATCAAAACATCAAGAGGTTTGTGGCCGTCCCAACAACAAAAGGTTCCATCAACAACCTTGTCAAGAAGTAGAACACCACGCCCAGTGCGATCGAAATCGGGAGCGCAGGCAGAGCTCTCCGGTACACGGACAACAGAATGAGAGTGCAGCCAAGTCCTGAGATGATCGCGAGGTAACACGCGTACACCGTCATGAGGTCGTACATTGCGGCCCTGCCCACAAGCACACTGTAGAAAATGAAGTCCCCTAAACCAAGCTTTATCCCTCTACTACTCGTCGCCTCTCTCTCATTCCCCATTCCCATGACTTCCACAAGAGGAGACATTTCCTCATCCACAGCAACACCACCACCACCACCACTTGCATTCTCTCCATTCTCATCCGACGACCGTGCCACCACCGTCGAATACTCCGAAGAAGGATCGCCGCCATTTCCCACCAACGGCGACCCCTCGTCATCTTCTTCATCAACCGCGGCAAGATTTTCGCGACTGGCACTGTCTCGCGGCATCGCCTGGAGCTCGACGTTGCCCGAATCCGAGACCAACAGCCCCAACGGTGGCCCGCGAATCTCCGCTTCTCTCGGCACCGTGGGGCGAGCCTCATAAACCAACGCGGGGAGCTCCTCGTCCCGGCTCGACGCCAACTCGACCAGCAGCTTAAGCGGCCCGCCTGGGGCCAAAACGGCGACGAGATCATACAATGCCAATGCCACAAGCAAGCTCCAAGTGGTCCACTCGGGCAATCTGGTGAACCAAGTGGCAACAAAAATCCCCAAAGAAACCATGTACGATTGGCGCCAAATGATTGGGAATCCGGCGGAGAAGAGCGAGAGGACGCCGACGACGGAGAAATTGAAGAGGAGGAGGAAGGAGGTGAGGGAGTCAATGGGAATGGAGAAGTGGAGAATTAGGGAGAGAAAAATGGAGCCGCCCATGGAGGCGAAGACAAAGAAGGCGGAGAAGCGCATGTAGTTCTTGAGAAAGGAGGTGAAGCGGAAGTAGTAGAGGAGGACGAGGAGGAAGGTGAGGAGGGTGATGAGGAGGACGAAGACGAGGGCGTTGAGGAGGGCGCCTTCGAGCTTTTGGGAGACCGAGTCGGAGGCGTCTTCGAGGTATACGAGGTTGGCGGCTGTACGGATTTGGGTGGCGGCGGAGGAAGAGGAGGAGGAGGAGAGGGAGTAGACGAGGAGGACGACGAGGAGCATGCATATGGAAACTGGGGACATGACGCCCACGATCTCGCACCCGATCGACGCCAGGATGCTGGATTCCATCGTTCGGATATGAGATTTCGTCCAGCAGTGGGTCGATCGGTGGGATTAAGGCCCCATTTGATTTTGGTTTCGGCCGGAGTTTTCAGTTTTACGGCTTGGGGAAAGGAAAGGGAAATTGAGATTGGGGTGGGGGTAATGGGTCGGGTCGGGTAGGTGGGGTGAAGAATGAAAGAGAGTACCTGAATATATATATATGTCAAAGAAATATTATTATTATATTATTTATTACTATTATTAATATCTGAATATGTCAAAAAAATATAATATCTGAAGAATATGTCAAAAAATTTGCCGAATATGTCGATATTGGGACCTGCATTCGCTGTAAGTTTAGGGAGGGAAGAGAAACGGATATTCACAGAGTGAGCAGGAAGAGCTAGTTCAGTTTTTTGATTTAAATTTTTATTTTAAATTAAAATGTAATTTTATATGAGAATTTTTTATTGTAATAACAAAATTAGATGTGACATTTTGTAAGAATTTTTAACTATAATAAAATTAAAATTTAAAATTTAAATCGATAAAATAAATGAATCCTTATAAAAGCAAAACAATGCCATAGAATGCGGATAGAAGTGTTGTTTAGGATTATGAAGATCTAGAAGGCTTGGGGAGAAGCATTGAAACAAAATAATAATTAGAAAACGACACAAAAATATTGTATACGACATCAATAAGTAGATGTTTGGTTCATAAATTCAGAACTATTTTCGGTTTATGTGTGTTTTTTGTGAGAGAAAATACTGTAGCGAATCACGAATCATAGCACGAATCCACCAACCAAACGCACTCTAAAAAATGAGAACCGCAACAACGACAATTGGTTAGAAAAATGACATCAAATTTGGAAACGACAATAATCATAAGATGACGTCATGAAAGGCAACGCAATAAAATAAGAAAAAAATTATTAAAAAAAAATAAACAAACGAGAATAAAAAGAACAAGAACAAGATAAACAGGAAAAACAACATAGAAACGACAACAAAACGAAAAACAACATAATAATGGCTTGACTGTCATGGTAAGTGATTGATTCTATATCAATCTACCATGTAATTTTCTGTTTTGGTATAGTTGTAGCTGTGATATGAGTTGGTATGATGTGGGTATCGATAGGATCAAATGCGGGTTGTACATGTGTCCACATTCCTGTGGATGTCACATAAATATTGTGACGACCCTCCTTTGAGGCCGCCACTGTTACTAACTTTTTAACTTGTACTTACTGGGGTTTCTTAAAATATGCGGAACATTTTTTTTTTTTTTTATTTAAGAAGGAATACTTTCATAATTTGTAACAATAATTTCAAATAAGTGAATCACTAAATTTCTTAAAGCTTTTCTTAATTTTAGTTAAGATAAAACCTTTTAGGAATATCCTTCAAATGGAATAGCATTTGAACTCTTGTTTTAAATACTCATTAAAAGCTTTTCTAAAACTAGTCATTTCAATCGGCCATCTCATTTGACTTTAAAACGGATTTCGTGAGAAATCTTAAATTCAAGTACATCTTAAAGTCCTTCTAAAATTACTCATTTAAATCGTCATGTTTAAAATTCATTTATTTGTTGCATGCACTGTAACATTCTAAAACTTAAATACTCAAAACTAGGGTTGTTAGTTACAACCTTGGTTTTCTTAACATACATATGTACGTATACTTTTTAAACATACATACTTGAAACTTTTGAATCATATAGACATATACATGATTTTTCTTAAACTTACTGCGGAAAATAACTGCGTGAGCGGTATCCATTCCCATCTCCACCATTCGTCCACCGCTCGCCATTGCCCTTCAAGAATTGCTGATAGGTTTCTTACCTACAACATGAACATATCTGATTGAGCTTTCGCTCAGCAAGTAGGAACTATATCTCACAAAATAACTGTAAGTACACATGAATAAATATGCATGAGCTGATTATGCTTAATTATGATGTCTTATCATAATTTTATTATCTTATCTTATCTTATCTTCCTTACTGATGGGCCCGAGTGCTCGCGTACCACTTGCGCGCAATCATCGGAACGTGAGGGTTTGCAAGGTCCCCCACGACACCGTGATTATAACTTGAATGCCTCCCTTGAGTCGGAGGACATTATTGTTATTTTCTTTTTCTCCCTTGTGGAGCT